CTACAAATGCAAGCTTAAAGCTAGCTCAGATACTTCTGCACTGTTATATAGACATACCTTCAGGCAGAGTATCCTTTAACACCTGTAAATTTAAATTGTAGGAGCAAATCCGCAATATCTGCCCCTCTACAATATGTTCATGTTGACATTGTCTTGTTCACAGCAGTTTTGGGTAACAGGTGTCCTAACACTGTAATTCCCAACCAGAGATGAGGCAGAAGTGTTTCTTCAGAGGATATGAAAACTGAGACGCTCAAGCATGGCTGAAGAAGGTACGTAGTAAGAAAGAACAAGATGATGACATTCCACAGTTAAAAGTTTAGTTTGATTTCAGTAAAACAGTTTTAATAAAGCTCCATTAGACTGCAGAATAGGAAACAGTGGCAGCCAGTGGATAAGACACTAAAACACAACAAGGCAACATACTTAGAGTTGTTCTGTAGAAAATGTCCCACAAAAACTAAGCAGCCACCTGAGCCTTTCCCTCTTCTCCTGGTGGGAACCACAGAAGGAGGAATCTCTGTCCTTCTTCAGCTATCCCAGAGCATGCCTCAGCTATAAAGGTTTGGCCATATACAGTAACCTTGGTTCACATTCTTTTCCGGTTCTGATTATTTCAGCTGAAGAAATTTTATACAGTGGGAGCAAAAATGATGCATTAAAAACAATACTGTTTTAGACTGTTTATGAGCCAGAATATCTTATAGGCTAGTCTGACTCAGGCATTCAGTTTTGCTAAAGGCTTTTGCTTTAAGTGACCAGACAGTCCTAACGTGGATCTGTTTTGCCCCCAAACCTGAGGGCATATTGTGGGATTCCTAAAGTCCACTGCATCAGTCAGTATGTTCAGATTTTTTTCTGTTTGTTTGGTTGGGGTTTTCTTTCTGGGTTTTCTTTGACAATGACTTTGTGAAACTGTTGCCAGTTCAAACACAACTGAGGCTTACCTAACGGGCAGAAAACCAGATTGAGCTAGTCAGCACTGTGCCATTCTCAACCTTACTTTGTTTTTCTCTCCCAAACCAGCATTTCTAGTTACAATTTTCTTTTATTTTTTCTTCAAAATGCTCACCCCCACTTGGACGCAGGCAAAATGTGCTGCTGCTTCTCCCTCACCAATACCTTCTGGGAAGTGGTGAGAAAAGAGTAACAGGAAATTGCATTCTTTTGTGTCTGTGCATTTTCCCCTCCTTTCCAATTTTCGGACAGGGATTTAATGTTCCTAATCAATTTTCAAGAACCCTGGATTGATGGACTGGGGCATTAAAACAAAAGGAACAGAAGTGTCCTGGCATTGCGGCTGGCAGGTGGACACCATATCATGTCATATCTGGTAATCATATCTGATTACCCAGAAGAGCCACTGGAATGCTCTTAAATCTACAGTCCAGGTGTGGTTTTGTGGCTCTTTGTGCCCACTGCTCATGTTGAGTCACTTGTTTAAATTTTGTAATGTGATTTTCTACCTAACAGTTGTGCTGTGTATCTTGACCCAATTTATGGCAACCAGAAAGTGTTGTGCTTGGTGGATTTAAATGGGAAGCCTAATGCTAATTTTTTGTCCCAGCAAATATAAAATAGACAAGTCATTTTATACCTTCACACTGCAATCCAGTCTTATGAAGCTCTCCAAAACTCTCATTTTAGAAAAACAGCAGAAGCTAACTTTGAAGGAAATCCAATCTCACAGCAATCACTTCCCAGCCTCCACACAAACAAACTGCTTAAGCTGATATAAAGCCATTGTAATCAGTGCCAAATGAAGGGCAATATTTTATCTTATTACAAATAAGAGAACTTAGTGTACAGAGTAACAGAAAAATATACATCTTCAGCCATACAAAATGCACAAAACCTTTCCTGTTGAAAGAGTACCTTGTAGCTGACAGTCAGATATTGTTAGTTTTCTAGACGACCCTGCACTACTGAACAAGGGGAAACTGAGACCTTTTTTTTTTCCCTAGGACATAGGTGGTAGCATTACCTGTATCCCATCAATTCCCTCCCTGTGGCTGTGGCTCTGCTAGTGTTGGACTACCCACCCCACTTCGTGCCTGAGATAGCTCCACTGGATGTAGAGGCTGCTTGGTTGTTGGAGGTGAACAGGATTTATAGCCCTGCACAGGATTGCTGGGCCACACATGCTGATTAGTAGAGTTTAAAATATGGGTATAGGCACAGCTATGCCTTAAAAGATCATCGTTCTTGTTCTTGAAGGGAACCAATCAATTCATGTCAGCCAGGAAGGTGGTTTTTTACCCACGAAGGAAAAATTTCTCCGTGTGTGAGCTACGTCCACACCGCTGAGGCTCTGCAACCTTCAGTGCTGGGGCAGAAGATGTCTGAGCGTGGGCTAGCCTTAAAGCCTAGGCAAACTGGAGAAGGTAAAGCTCCTCACTTGCTTTAAAAAAGTCGGTATCAAGCTAGAAAGTCAGTAGCAAATTACTTTAAACAACGGATTTTTTTCATCCATTAAGGGAAATATGGTAAGACTCTGTTGAAGGTTTAGGTCAAGGTGATAAGCTATAGGAAGTATTGGGTGTGTGTATCTGTGTGGTGGGGTGTCTCTCCCAGTTGCAGCTATTTATATCTCTGAGGGAAGGTTAAGGTTAGGAATTTAATAAGACAGCCGTTTATTCTGTGGAGACTAACAGTCCTGGGGTTAGGATGTAATAATCATTCTTCTGCTTTAAAAATGGTTCTCTTAACAAATAGCAGTAGCTCATTGCAATTTTCAGTTGTACAAAATGACATATTTTCTATGTTACTATCAAAATATTCTGCATAACATTAATTTCTGTGCACTTATTAACATATGTACAGAACAGTGTTTCCCAATAGAAATCAGTATGCTCCTTGCTGATCCTCTTTGCCCTAGATTTACCAAAACCAAACCAGAAATTAATTGTGTTAATAGTATAAAATCTCAGGAGAGAGAAAGGATTGAAGGTTTATTTCCCAGCAGCAAATGAATAAAGGAACTCCTTCAAGTCAAAGTCTAGCCAAGACGTAATTTTAACCAACGGCGGTGAATCCAGGCAAGCCAGGAATATCACACATTTTCCTGATGCATTATGTTGAGTACACAGAAGCAGAGGAATGTAAACAGACAGAAGGCACATGAAAGGCCCCAATCCATTCTCCATCTGACGGAAGTGCGAGTTTCATAATTCTGTCATCAAGAGTCTTTTCATCATTTTCTCTCTCTCAAGTTCACGCCTCAGAGTCTCAGCACTGTGTAATTAATGCACAAACAGCCAATTATGGGAACAACAATAAGTCTCGGATTTCAATTTAAAATAATTAACATTTTCAAAATACCAAAGGAGAGGGAAAAAAGGTCAGATACAATTCAGTGAAAAAGCTGATAACTGATGGCTGATTCAAAAACAAGTATCGCTTGATATTTCTGAGGAGCAATCAGAGGCAAGAAGAAGGATATAAAAAGATCCACATGGCAAAACAGTTTATAATTTTATCTAACCCCCATTAAAGGCTACTGATTTCAAAGGAAGCTGGACAAGGACTCTAAAAATGGAGCAGCTACAGTAAATGCTATTATGATAGACTACTGTGACAGCCTTCTGCTCCTTGGTGTGATCTGATATTGGGGGATATCTATATACATAGATATATAGCTATGCTGAATTTACCACAGTCCTGCACGTATCAGGATGCCATAATCAGAGCCTGAGGTCCTTGCTCTCACCAATTCACTCCAGAGCCCGGAGGATTTGTAACCCTGGGAAGTCCTGGTTTAGTGACTCAATTTCTGATACTGAAATTATGAAATACTGAAATACTGCTGTTCTGAAAGTTATGTATCTCACACTTGTAACACTGCTTGGAGATTTAAACAGCATTGCAGAAACCTTGCAGCCCATTTGTGGACAAGCAGGGGTAGAATCACCTGCTTGTGCATGAGACATCTTACAGAAGCTGAGTTCAGCACTACAGCTTCAGAATTACTTTTTCACTGAAATGATAATTTTTTAGATGAGTAAGCAATGTTGAATTAATGTGCAGGTGCAATTAACCAGCTGCAAAAAATAATTAACAACCAAAAATGGGAAACGACTGTGAATCCAAAAGCATAAAAGATTCATTCATTATGGTGTCAAAGAAATACTTTTTTCTTCATAACCCTTGAATTATTTGCACTCCAGAAGTAGTGACTATATCCACTGCTGCATTTATATTCAGTAAATTATCAGCTTGAGTTCAGTTTTGATTAAATTATAGAATAAGAAGCCAGCATGCAAAACCAGTAGGATGAAAGAATAGAAAACTGAAGAGTCTGTCTGTAAAAAGGTGGTATAGCTTGTTGATTCTCTGAGAAATTACAAGACCACTATAGCTTGACATTACTAAAATAGAAAAAAAAAAAGAGAGAGAAAGAGGAACAAGAAAGAAATCCAGTGCCTGTTTTTTATTTAGAAGAACAGACATTTCTCAATCTCAGGTTTGGACATTTCATGGACATTAATTTCAAAAAAACAAATTGTAACAGCAGTTATTAAAACAAAAGTTTTGTGGTTCAGACAAAATGACTTGCCTGAGGAAAAATCTCCACAGCCCTTTGTCTCCAGGCCATTGGGCACAGAAATGGAACACTGCTGGCTGCAGCAGTTAATTAAGGTAGGCTTTTCTTTATCTCAGAGCATGAGTATCAGTTACAGATATTTCTTTGCATAACCCACCTATTCTGAAGTAGTCAAGCAAAAATCTTTCAGTATAAGAGAAAATGACACTTTATGGTAATTATGACAGAAAAAGGGAAATCAAGCTGATTCCTTCAATGCAGAAAACATCATAGCATTACTGTGAAAGAACTGCACGGTACCTGTCTGCCAGCGAAATGGGCTTATGCGACGTATATACTGTCTGCACTGTTGGAGTCGGGATGGTCTCTGCCAGAGACCTCAGCACGGGTGATGGAGACACCAGCGTAATCTTAGGAGACGACTGCACTGCACAGCATTGTAATTTGCTGTCTGCAAATTCTGCCTACAAAAAAAAAAAAAAAAAAGTATACACACACACAGAATGAAAAATTGTAGATTAGCTTCTGCTGGTCTCGCCATCCTTCACTATCCAATTCATTGCCAAGCACACAGTAACAGCAACTAAGAATGAGAAAAAATGGGAGGCTGTGGCTATAACCTCTCAGTGCGGCCTCTGCACAGGCTCCACAGCCACCTCTTTTGATGCCTGAGGGACCAGCCTGATTGCAACATGTACTGAGTGAGGTGACACCTATGGGACTGGCAGCATTCAGGTAAAATCATGATCAGTTTGGAGAATGACACTTATCACTATTGTATTTCCCCTAAAAAATATGCAGAATGTTGACAACATGAGATTTCTGGAATATCCTTCAGGAATCCTATACAATTTGCTGGTGAGTCCTCTAACTACTCTTTGTTTTGTTAACAGCTGGGAATCTGGGTTTTTAGGATTAGGTTTCAAAATTTCCATCTCCTTCCCACTTTTGCTAACTGAAACATGCCTCAAGAGAATTTTTCTTTCAGTATCCAATGAAAAGCAATGTTAAAACAATATTGGAAGTGCAGATTTAAGACAAGTAGCAAGCAACCATCTCCTGTCTTTTAGACGAGGTACTTCAGCACAACAATATTATAGCAAAGACAGGGCTATTTTTACAACCAGAACGGGAAGATCCCTAAAAATCAAACAGTCCTGTCTTGTTTTTTGGTGTGGGCTATTTCTTATGCCAAACCAGAGCAGCTAGTGCCTGTGGTGCATGTATGACCCTAACCTGGGAAGAATGCAGAGCAACTGCAATTGTCAGTGCGTCAGGATCATTAAAACATACTCCTACTGGTATCTATAGCCTACCTTTCTTCCTTGGTGTCTATTTCCTCTGAACTTGGTTCAGAGTCCAAGGCAGGGAGGAGGAAAAATCACCATCATAAGAAAGCAGCTATTTCAAGAGCAACCTTTTTTTTGGTCTAATTATTTCTCAAATTCTGCAACCCTCTGCAAGTGATTCACAAACGTAGTTCAAATAGTGGGAAAACTATTTGAGCCCAGGCAAGACTGGCTGTGTTAGGTTTGCTTGCTTATTGTCGCTTTTTAACATGTTTAAACACATCTTGAATGATCCAAAATAATCTCTGAAGCAAAAGGAATTCCATAAATTCCACAAAATTAGTAAAATAGAAAAATGAAAAATCAACTAAAGAAACTCTCATGTGTTGCTTTAAACATGTAAATAATGGCTAATAGGACCTGTTCAAAATTCTCTGTAATTCAACTTTTAAAATTCAACCTTACAAACTGCAGGGGTATGCAATTTGGTGTCCCTGTGCTCTGAGGACTGCCAGATCCTACCCTATGGCATGAGAAGAAGACATCACTCTGAAGCTGATGTAAATTCTGCCAGCCTCACTGAAATCAGCAGAGTGATGACAAGCTACATTTGCTGAAGAACTGCCTTGAGTCCCATAGTGTGTCTGCTCTGGATGATGATTTTACAGTAGATATCCAAAGCATCTTTTTATACATATGTCTGATTGCACACTTAAGCCAAATATTCAGCTGGTCTAAACAGATATAATTTCACTAATTTAAATCTGTGTGGCTTACACCTGCCTGAGATTATGGCCATCATACCTGCATTTTTTTCTATGGAAATCTCTGAAATTCAGAGGGTTCCTGAGTTGAAGCTTATATTGAAACATTACAGGTAACCAAGTCAACTAATTTTTCATCTGATCAAATCAACAGAACTGCACATACACCACCAAATTTGGAGCTGTACATGAAAGGTAAAGCCTTCTAAACATCACTATACATAATCCTTTTCCTGCTCAATAACATTCCAATGTTTTCTTCCAAGTGGGGAGAAAAATAAAATAAAATAAAATAAAATAAAAGTGGAGGGTAAGGGGAAACAAGGACAGAAAAAAATAAAATATAAAAATAAAGCAATTACCAAACATTACCATCTGGGTCTGCATGTGAGTGGAGACCAATCAGAGTTAGATCTTCCTGCAAGTCCTAGCTACCCTTCCCTTAGAGCTCCTGCCTGTGGTGTAGCTCTCTTCATGCCCTCAGCAGTGCATCAGGATGGTCTGAAATGCTGCAGTGGAGAGACACCTCCCTTTGGGATGGGACAGAGGGCTATGAAACATAGGACCAAAGCCACCTAACTCTCCTAATTGTTTTCCCATCTCTGTGCAGTCCCATGGGTAGCTGCTTGTTCACCACAGATATTTGTACATAACTCACTAAAAGGAATGTACAGGGTCACATGATGGATCATACATAATTTGGTTTTTATTGCAATGGTATTTTAAATATTTGTGATCTCAGTTTTTCTCTCCACCCTACCCAGGGAAATGGAAATCTATGGGGACAAGATGGGATTTCAGAAAGATTAGCTTGAATTTTGCTTTGCTTCTTTTCTCCTGACAGAAGAAAACAAAAATTCAACATTTGAATTTGCCATGAAATAGCCTTTCTCTGCAATATGGAAATTTCTGTGGGTAAGTATATCAGTATACCTTCTATTTTAGAGTTCTGACCCCCCCCAATTATGAAAATAAACGTTATATAGCCCTCTTAAATTTTGCTTTCATCCTAACCGTCAGACAAAAAAAAAATATCTGACAATCAATACTAATTAGTGAGAAAGCTATTTTGGGGGGCACATAATTTTGCTTAGATAAAGGAGTACTGTGAAAGACACAAGCACTGTAACTTTGGGTTAGCTTTATCACAATTTTATGGTCTGGACTTGCTGACATAATGAAACATTGATGTGAGATTCCTGTGTACTTTCAAATGCATTTAATTAGAGCTCAACTGTGGCACTTACACTGCTTGGGAAGGCTAACTAACTCTAGCTTTAAAGTACCTATTTGGAGAAAAAACACATTTACATAAAAGCCCATGATCAGGTTTATTGTGAAAGAAAAGCCTTTCTTTAAATCATTAAATACAGACAGAACCTTCACATGACCCAACAGTGAATGAAGTAACTTATCTTGGATTATATGCCAGATATAGATTGCTGCAACCAGTAAAATTTAAAGTCAAAGTCCGAAATGCTTCATTTTGCAAATGTAACTTTAAAATTACAAATCATTTTGCATGGTGTTTATAAGCAGAGTGTTTCTTAAAGAGTAGTTATTTTTTCATGCTTCTTTGGTCATATTTATTACATAATGCCTCTGCCACCAAAGCAAGATTTTGAATGTACTTACTTTTTAAATTGTCAGATAATTGTTTTCTATTTTTGTGTAGTTTATCTCACCAAAATCCCTAAGTCATGTCTTCTGTGAATATTTAACAAGAATGAAGTTCAATATTGGATTGAAGTTCTTGGGTAAACATGAGAGTTTGTACAAGGATACCACTGTAGTCATTCACACACCAACTATAATTCTTTAAAGTTTCAGCTGTACATTCAATGAAAATCAGGGCCCTCTTTGTGATGGCACAGCAGGTGGTTTCAGGCAGGAGCCATGCAATTGCTGGACAGAGGACTAAATCTTCCCATTCCCTTACTGCTCCCTGTAAAGATGTTATGGAGCTTCACCAGTGTTCTCTTCAGTCCTGAAATAAACATTTTGGGACTGACTTCATTGGTGGTGAACCTTGACCTTTAACTTTTAGTCCTCTGTCTATTAAGCAGCAATGTCTGAATGCAGGCAACATTTTGTATAATGGGAATATTTAACTGCTTCGTACTCTTAATTTCTACTTGGAATTTATCTTTTTTTAAAATTTTTTTGAGGACTGCTTAGTGCATAGATTTCTGACACTTTAAAAAATCAGTTGGAATTGTGTTAAAACACAGTTTTTTATTTGCACATTCTACTTACAGAAAACTGTGGTACTGTTGTAAAGGGATCGAAAAAAGGATTAGATGTATCAGCAGGGAATGTCTTTATCTTTAAAAAAGATAAAGAAAAAGATGTTACTTTCAGAGCATAAAAATGCAAAAGAAAAAAAAAAGCAGCAAAGCATTGCAACTACAGTGACATATCCAACAAATCAGAGCAGTTCAGCAGTGCCTGGACCAGACCCAAAAAAGACCCTTCCAAAAATGCATACAGAAACCTGATGATGAATAGTCAAAGCATAAATATGAAAACTTGAAAAATTAATTTTACCATGTAATTAAATATGTTGAACAAATACAGAGCTGGTTGCATACAATATATCTTCCAATTCTGTCACCAGAATTATTATGTGATTCTTTAAGCCAGCACTACATTTTAAGATATGCAATATGAAGTGCAGGAGCAAATTTTGCTGTACAGGAACTTTGGGTAAAGAACTTGTGCTTTAAATATTTTAGACTTCCAAATTTTCACTTACACTGTTGCTACCAAAGACAAACAATCACCCAAGGTGGGATCAAAAGAAAATCATATATTAAAAAACCATGGGGACAGCTGTTTGTTTCAGGCAGCTAGGATGCTCTGTGTTGAGTAGAGGGCTGTGGATAAAGGATAACCCTTGGAGGTTTTTTGAAAAGTGCATGGAAACAAAGAGGGGAGAGACCAACATATATCCATCTGCTGAGAGGGCTTGGTCCATGACGATATAGTCACTGGTGTGACCAGACCCTGCTGGAAATCACTTCTGCCCTTAACGTAGTTTTAAACATTAGCTGAAATTAAAAATATATTAAAAGCAGCAACAATCTCTGTCCCACTTCATTGTGAATGCTGTTTCTCATTATTTTCCTTTTTAGAATGCAGACATTATTATTCATTAATTCAGAGAGGACAAAATAGCAAATAAACATTTGAATTTGAACTGCACTTCATGCTTTCCCTTTGGAAAATTACATTTTTCACTGTAAAGGTGTGTTTTTCACTTTATTACAGAAACTGCTGTGCATTGCTTTGTTATGCATGTATTCAATCATAATTTACTAACTACAGCCATACAACTGTTGTCTAATAATGAGGAAAGCTACCTTGAGGGCTCTGAGCCCCTGCAGGCCAAAGAAAAACCTGGAATTATGACATCAAATATAATTAAGTAAATGTACAGTGTTTATTTTGCAAATAAAATAGCAGAAACATATTGGCTTATAAGGGTACCAAGGGAAATTAACAGCTATCTGCGGGCTTCCTTCTGCAAACATGTGGAATTAAGCTTAGCATTAATTGTCAGGCTTCTTACACATGAGGAGTATGGATAGCAATGATACTGTCAAGCATGTAAATGACTTTTTAACAGAGTAAAGGTGTTTGTAAATCAATTACACAGGCAAAAATGAGCTAACAACTCTGCGAAGGAGAAATTATTTCAAATTACAATTTTCTATGCAAACTTATTAAAGGAAGTTTCACAGTCCTTTTACAGTCCTATATTCATGTCTGTTAGCAAAGCATATGTATGTCTGCTGTACTGCTCATTGAACCTAACTCATTAGACTCACACAATAGCTCCTCACAAGTTTGTAATTTTACATTATACCCAGAGCCAAATCTGGACAGCTGTAGCATATCTCACTCTTTTGAGAGACAGCAAATACCCATGAGCCCAGGCTGACATTCCCAGGTTATGAAGGGTTTACAATATGATGTTACAGTACAAAGTACAAGTGTACTCAGTTACAAATAAAATCTTTGAGCCAAAGACAAACAGGGCTGGGAAGCTCTTTGCTCGTGTGCCATATGAGTTTGATATCCCACAGCTAAAATCTCTCCAATTTTGCCAGTTAGTCTCATTACAGAAATGAAGCGCAGTTACTGAACACAGGAAAGAAAAATTATGCAGAATACTGGAGACTCCACTGAGATTTGGGAGCAGAGGCACATAACAGGAGTCAGCCTGATCACATGCTGTGACCCACAGCCATGCAGAATACCCTCTTGCAAAACCGGCAATCTGTGGATGTGTGTGAGGCCAGACTATGCATCCAAGCAGACCATCCAGAAATGGTCAATCTGGTTTAGTTATCAATGTGAGTCCCTCTCTCAGGGAGCTGTGCTGTTTTAATCTTGAGAATAGGACAATGTTGAGAAATTAACGGCTCACCGAATTACAAACCACTCAATTTCTGGCTTTTTAAACAAAGTGTAAAGAGAAATTAGGGAACAGAGGGGAAAAACCCCATAGTTGTGCTCAATTTAAGAGTGACAAACAAACCATCCCACTTAGCCTTTGCTATTTTCTCTTCCCCCCATATTTTTTGCCTCTGAGAACAGCCCACTGTTACTCAAAAGGCACAACAGAGTTAATGTTTTGGCTCAGGCCTTGGTTAAATTATTGCTGCCAGTTTCCATAGGCAAGGCAGAGAGACAACACTGTTGTTGCCTCTTCAACACTGGCAAGAAGTTCTTATCTATTAATGGCTTGGCTCTTCTGAGTAGGAAGTTGGTACAATATCCTAATCCATACAATAGCAGAAAAAAAATATATTCAGGATTATTGTTTAGATAGAGGATATGCAGGATGGGGAGACAACAGTGTGGAAAACATCACTTTAAAAACTGGTTTATGTGAAACCTGATTTGGAAATTTGAAAGGTCTCTTCAGTCAAGAATACACTTTGCCTACTTTGACCTAACTGTCCTGCATGTTCACCATGGCCAGCAGTAGCAGTTGCCAGGACCTGGAAGGGGGAAGAAAAGCCTGTGATTCCCACCCCACCACACAAGGAAAGCAGCATCATGGGTGAGTCTCTTCCTTACCCTTGCACTGGAGTTGAGTTTATTGCATGAAATCAAAAATCTCAGAAAGCAAAACAATTGCTTTCAAAAGCAAAACAAAAGCTATTGCTCAGAAAGCAAAACAACTCCCTGAGCAGAGCCTAAATGTTATGCCTTCCCCACACAGCCTCTCTACCTGTCCTAGGAGGAAGACACACCATACCTTTAAATATCTCCTAACTGACATGGAAGAAGCAGACTCTTAACTTTTCCAGGGTGCTTTCTTCTCTCTGTCATGGCAGCATCAGTTGAAAGATGCCACCTGGGAACTGAGAACAGAAGAAGGGCACAGCCAGCTCTACCACCTACTTCAAAGCTGCAGTTCCTCCAGCATCTGGAGACCCTCAGCAGCTTCCAGGCTTTACCTGAGAACGCACACATGAAAGGAAAAGGAGAGGGAAGAGGAAGTGGGCAGCTCCATGGACAGGTTGATCTCATGAGCTGAACTCTAGCTGCTCAGAGAAGTGAAACACAGTAGCTGTCAGTGCATGGAGTTCCTATAGACCAGAGTGAGGTTTGCTGTCTGCTTTGGTATGAAACAAAACAAGTAACACCTTTAAAGTCTACAGCTGGGCACAATTCCTGTCCTGGCAGATGGAGCAGCAATCTCATCCACACTACTCAGACGGGCATTTTCTGGCACAGTCAGGCTCTTCCATGAGAGCAGCAGGGAATAACTGGTGTCACAGGGGCTACAGAAATAGCATGAGCAACAAGAGGTTAGAGCTGTGCTCTCCTTAACAGCACAGACAGGCTTTTAAGTACGAAACCTGATTTCAAGCACACTTGCTCTCTCTGCAGGAGTGCCAAGAGTCTTGCAGCCAAAGTCACAGCCATAAAACAACCTTTAAGGCAAGCCCCATGAGTAACTGTCAGGTGGCAGAGGCATGGCTTGAAAGGGGAGGGAAGAAGGCTGACATTCCAGCAGCATCTCACATCCTGAGGGCTTGTTTCATAACCTGAAATGCCCCTTGCTTGAAAGGTCAGGGAGCAGTACCATAGCTACTTTGGACAAGTAGCTCCTTGTCTGCAATATTTAGCTTGGCAAGTTGAGAATTTACTAAGCTTAAAAGAACAGTTGACTCTCAAAAATAACCCAAAAAAACATTGGCATAGTCTCAAGAGACGTCCAATGGTTGAATAATCTTTAAGGTGAGAAATCTGAACACCAGTCAGATATAACAGCCACATCAATTTTCATGGGAAAAAAAGCAAAAATTTATTCCTCTTTATTTTCTGCTACTACTCAAAGATTCGTATTGCATTATTGCTGTCCGCTGAAGTGGATTCCTCCAATATTTTGGAGGAATCTCTGCCACAGCCAGAAAGAATTAATGCACTGATTTTCCTTGACATTTATATAGCAAGGGAGAATGAAGAAGCCTGAAGAAAGAATCCTTCCTTTTTCTTTGCATTTGTGCAAAGAGTTCTTCTGGATGGAATTTCAAATCTCAGTAAAAACAATTGCACGTTCCTGAAATACTTTTTAGATGAGTTAGGAGAAAAAAAAAAAGCAACTTTCTCATAAAAACAAATGGAAGTGGAAGGAGACAAAGAAAGAGCATTTTTGTTGAGTTTATTGATATAAAATCAGCTGTTTTGGTATTTCTATCAGAAGGGAATATTACAAATGTCCTTGCTTTGACAAAAAAATACTACCTTTGGGAGAAGTGGGCTTAATTTGGATGTGTTCCCTTGCCTTTGGAATATCCCTGGCCTGGCACAATTATCCTTCCACAAAGGTCCTGTAAAATTTTCTGCTGTTGACGCTTTGCTTCACTGCCATCTCCTGCCCCTTGACAGGAGGCATTGGTAACATTATGGTGAGGACGTGTGATCTCAGTGGGTTTGCACTGTCTCTTTATACACTGACCAGATGGAAGACAGACTTCAGGCCAAACACTTCACTAGATTCCCATGCAGTACAGCAAGAAGAGGCAGTGATGCTAACACCTGAAGCAGTATCATAAATAAGGCCCTCAGGATACACATAGAGCCAGAGGAATATTCTGTTTTGCTTTATTTCATTGCTTTATACACAATGTAAATTGAATACCATCATGTCTATACAGCACAGAGACCTGTTTCTACTCATCAAATCAGAAAGGGACATCGGCTGGGATGTCTGGAGGATACTGCAATGGCATTTCCCTGTCCTGACATGTGACATGACATAAAACATTAGGCCTGGTTTCCAAAACCAGTGTGAAGATTCCAGGCTCCACAATTTTTCAGTAAAGCTCCTTGTCTGCTGTAATACCATTTCAGTGGCTGAAATGCATACTGAGGCAGAAAATGTAAAAACCCAAAGAGTTTCTGGTATTTTTTACCATGCAATTTCTACAGGGACAAACAAATTCTTTTGAGTGGGAGCAGTTTCAGGCTCAAATGATCCAACACTTGGATTATGTCAACCCCAGTTCATGTCCTTCTCATGTGGCAACATAACCACCATGACAGGTAGGCATAATCACTGCCAGGATGCACAGGGTGAAAATCAGACCAAAACAGTGCAGCAAACTTGCAACAGGACAGAAACATAAATCAGAAATACTATTCACTAATTAGTCTTGGAAAAATCTGTGTGAACTTGATGCCCTGATGAACCACATTTGGTGCAAATCCCACATGCATTGCATCACACTCCACCTTCTTTTCATGGGATGCAGGATTTTTTCTAGTTTTTGAATTGATATCCAGGTGTTGGTGTTAGCAGACAGATTTTGTTCACACTCATTAAAGAGGGCACTTCTGCAGAAATGTACTGATGAAAACACCCTGAGGACAAAATGAGAAGTTTCTTAAGAGGATGGGTTTCTGTTCAAGCCACTAATCCAGGAAGGAAGAAGCTACATGTTCAGAACCTCCCTACCCTGTCACTCTCTCTGAGGAGACAACACTGGAAAATCTCCCTCATAGTTCCATCTGGTATTTGGGTCTCCCTTATTCATCTTGCAAAAAAACTAGGGGAGTCTGGAGATCAAGAAAATACTTCCAAGAATATTCTTTGATTCTTAAGAACCACATAAGTACATCCAAATCTTTGAATCATCTGGTTTGGTGTGAGTTTCCACAGGACAACTGTACTGCAGTACAGAGTCCCGATTCCCACAGGTTCGGCTCAATTCCTTCTGGTGAACTGAAAAAGCTCCACTTTGAAAGCTCCATGTTCATCCCGCAGTATCTTTGATGAGACAAGTTCTCTTGGGGCCCCTCAAATGGTGAGCTTGCCATTCCTTTGCTAATTGATGTACACCAGCCCTTCTTTGGCCCTTGCTGCAGGCTGAGTCCACCTGCCCTGGAACATGACCTGGCAGCATACACCACCTTCTTGATGTCTCACCAGCTGCTTGGACTTTTCTCTCCATCAGGTATTTTCCTCCCTCTTAGAGGGACACTGTGCAATCCAACCCAACACAGAGGCACTGTCAGGAGGTGGCTACGTAGTTCCTTGACTGTGCTCCAGTGACTTCGGTCTCCCAAACGGATGTCAAGGGAGTTTATGAGAGTAGAAGATATAGAAGGTTCTGTTTCTGCTAAAGCTTGGATTTGCTGCAGTTCTAGCCTTTCACAGATACTTCTTGCATAATAGTTTGTGGCTGCAGTATAAACTATACACCATTTGCAAGCAGGTCTACCTAAATCACAGCAGTTAAGATGCCCTGGATATAAGCCTGAATCTTCACGCCAGCTTCTGCAACAATTTACAAGGACAGCTCTACAAATTTTGTTGGTGCTAGTATCTTTTTTATGCTACCTTTAGGGATCAAGTACCCTAGATTTTCACTCTAAGGATTGTAATTATGGGTTGCTAGCAAAGGGATTTCAGAGGTATTGGGAGAGCACGAGGGATGACGGTAATAGTGTTATTAAATCAGTCCAGCATCTCTACAGCACATTGGAAAAAAATGCATATCCTGGATCATTTTTAGGACATAACTTTGCCTTGTGAATATTTTGGAGAAGACATTTTCAAAAGAATACAGAATAAGAACAACTCAGATGTGACAAAACAAGATGGTGTCCATGCTCTCACAGTCTTCAGGATTTTCAGTACTCTTTCACTGGTGCTGTGAAGGTGAGCAAGCTTAACAGAACATAACCACAGAATGGGCTGTCAGCCCAGTCATCATCCCCTGAGGAAAACGTAGCAAGGCAAAATGATGTCACAATCTTGGTGTGTTGGCTAAAATGCAGACTAAAGATTTGCTTGGTCTTTGTTTAAAACACAGAAATGAAACAAACAGAAAGCAGTAGGTACCCACTGTATATGATTGCTCTCCAACAGTTGCTGCATTAGTTGCATTTCTGGAACAGCTAATGCAAAGTTACCTTTCTTGTCCCTTGGCTTTTACCAATGAAATCAACGGTGATCCAGTGGTGGGTGCCTACACCACGTTCACAGCTAACAAAATCAAGTGGCATCTTGGCAGATGGAGGCTGTTTTCACAGAAGAAAGTCACTAAAGATGGATAACATTAAGAGGAGGAAATGAGTGTTGTGATTCCTGCCAGTTGAGAATGCCCCAGGTAAGACATATACTTCCCAATTTCACTGCCAGCAAGCAGACTGTATTTCCTACCAGATGGAAAAACTCAGCCCTTACCTCACCTGATTATTTCTAAGTATAGACACTGACCCAATAACTGTTAGTTCACCAAGAGACTTATTAACATGGAGACTTTGAACCCAGGGACATTCCCACAAAGGCTGATTAATAACCATGTAACACACCTGCCCTTTTTCAGAACCCTCAGGATCACATTCCTGTCTTGAAAAGTTATGACACATTGGCACAAACAGTGTACTTCTTGACCTTAGTCCTACAGAAACAAATAGTTTGTCTCTCTAGTGTAATCAATCTCTACTTGTGTAAGAGAAAAAGCTGGCTGAAAGTCCTTAAGTGTCTAGAAACTCAACCCATCACAGTCTCCTTGAATGTCAGGATAGTAAGAAATACTTTGCACCAATTTTCTGTCCTATTTTTCTGGGCTATTGAGCTCTGATAAAATCCCCAGGAGTTTATACAGTTCATTATTTTAAAGGAAAAGAATAGCACAGGTAGATTAAAGTCAGTGAAGCTGCAGAAAAAGTGTTAAAATTACAAACTGGTGCACTATTTATAAATCTATAAAGAAGAACACTTGAGTGTATTTTCAACTTCAGCATGTGACCAGTCCCAGGGACTACCACAGCCTTAATCTGTGCACGTGCCTACAAACTTTGGAGACCTCTCACAAGTTATGATCTCAAGTACACGTAAGAGTGCTGACTGCTGTGCTGTGCTGCAACTGCCTCACTACTCTAAATATCTACTCTGAATTAAGCTTCTATAAGACAATAATAATTTCCCACCATAATATGTCACCTTTTCCAACATGCATCAAGGAAGCAGAGCACTGCTTTTTTAAATGTAGTGGATACAAAACTATTTGATCCTATCAACTCCAGCTGGAGTAGAAGCTGAAAGTCTACAAGAAGCAATGTGTTGCTTAGTTTAAAATTCATGCATGAACAAATTCAATCCCATATCTAGTAAATGTTTTGTGATAAATGTTATAAATAAAAACCTATTTATTCATAACCTCATTCCCTTGACTATGAATCATTCATATTGCCAGCCATCAAGCATTAAATAAACACAAAGATTCTGTCTTGACTGCAAGTAAAATCTAGTTGTGTTCAAACACAAGAGCTCATTAGGCATATACAGATTCAAACACCTGCATTGTAACACTATGCCAATTCAGTGTGGTGAAACACATCAGAGGCCTCTGTGTCTGAGGAATATTACCCTAAAAGCCAGTCTCCCAGTCTGAGACCCTGCACTCAGATATGTCCCAGGCTAAAGAGATTAGTCCCAGCCAAGGCATAATCCAAATCAATTAGGGCTATTAGCACATAACTCACTCTTGCCCATCCTAATTACAAAAGAAATATCTCCTTTGGACCAAGAGCACAAGTATAGAACTCTTCTGCTTGGCTCAGGAATGACAGCAGTTTCAGTGCCAGAAAGCCGTTCTCATATGAGCAGAGCTCTGCTTCCCCATATTTTCTTTATTGAGCTAAGGCTTGAGAGGATCCATTATTAAAGACATCTCTGTGAAGGCAACTGAAGAGCATTATAATGTTGCAGGGAGCAGGAAAAGTAAAATAAAAATGAGAGAGTGGCCAAACAATGACAGTCCTCTCCCCAGAGATCTGCTTGTGGCACCTCTTCAAGGGAAGAAATACACTATGAATAAAATGTCACAGGCAGATCCTGGTCCCCAGTCAACCAACTTCCCATCCATCCCAACAGGAGCTCACAGCCCCCAGACTGGGGCTGAAGATTTCCTGTGAGGCATGTTTCCAACACCACTGCCTCAAAGACCCCTTCCCAGCACCATGTGGAGATGGAGGAGGTGAAAACACGGTTGCCTTGCAACCTCTGCTGATGTTGTGGTCCCTGGGAAGATTACAGCTTACTCTTTCAGTTCAGAAAAACTCTGAAGTCTTCTAAAATGCAAGAGGAGCAAAAACTGGTCCAGTCAACTTCATAACTTGGAAATTATGAGGGGGCTTACAGTGCTTGCTTTAAAATTTCTTCCCAAGAGCCCTGGGATAGCTGCAGGCTAAGGCCCAGGATACTCTCTTTTCTTGGGGGAGGGTAAGATAAAATGTGATTTGTTATTGGGTTTTGTTTTTTGGTTTTGTTTTGGGGTTTCTTTTGCAATCCTATGCCTGGAGCTTTTTGAGTGTGCTCTCTATGAGCTTGGGAACTAACAGTTCCTGGTGCCCAACTCGAGCCACACTGCAGATGTACAGAAAAGCCTTTATCCATACTGCCTCACCACCCTACTATGGTGAGGAAGAAAAGAGAAGGCACAGTTTCTTCAGTTTCTTCAACCCTTTCTCCAAACCAGTAGCAGCAAGACAGGAGAAGGCCAAAATTGCTTTAGAGGCACACACAAACATGGGCTCTCCTGACCACAGATATTTTGAAGAGAACAAGCTTTGTCTGAAGTCTGGGCAGCTCAGACATTGATGCAAACACATGGATTCTATCTGTATGTGAGCACTTGAGCTTCATGGTTATAAATCTTGACAGTTTACTCAACTTGGCTGCAGCATGAATTGAGTGCCAAATTGTGCACAAATTCAGGTGGTCAGAAGCCCACTGTGCTTGGCACATGACTTCCCATCTCCAGCACTGCCAACAGAGCTCTCAGCAGAGCCTGTGCACATGGTTGGGTGCGTATGCCAGATGGCAGGGCCAGCTCCTTCATCACAATCCATCCTGGCAATAGCTGGTACTTTGCCAGAAGAGGCCAAATGACATTCCGCAGCACTGGAGCACTTGCAAGATTCTAGTCAACCTTTTGATAAAGACCAATAAATGACATTAACTTGCTAAATGAGTTTTATAGAGGTTTACTTTCCCGACCTCACCAGCTGCATCTCCTAGAAAGTACGAGAATTTGGTCTTGGTTTACCGAAAATGAGAAGAATATCATACCATAAAGCAAACCATAAATCCATATTCTTCCATAGTGATTGTTTTGTGGGTAAGTTCCAAGGAATAATTCTGAGAAGTATGCAAGAACTGCTTTCTATTAATCAGGCTTAAAATGGTTGTACAGAATATCTAACTCTGTAGAATTTTTCTTCCTCATCTCAAAACAGTTTAGCTTTTTTTTTTAAAAAGTCATATAAGGGATATGAACAGAAGGGAACCCTACCTACTGAGGTCATTGGTTTGCAATCCAGTTACCATGACAGCTAATAAGTTAGAATTAGCAAACTCCTGTTTTCTTTCTCCCACAATTAAATCACAATTTTCTTCCATGACATACAATGTCTGGGACAAGGCATAGAACTGTGGAATTACCATAGATGTGCTGAGGTTTATGAAAACTTCAATTTTATCAGTTTGACTTCCTGGTTATTCTTCTGTTGCTATTCCTCTGAGTTATAAGATTTGTACTAAGCTTTGCATAAAGTCATAGCAAAAGATCTCTCGGGATGTAAATCTCATAAGTCAATGATTGTATTTCTGGTTTGGTTTTGCTTGCTAGTAGATAGACTACAGAAATTTAAATATATATTATGCTTCAGTAGAGAATTTACCCACTGTTGTGAATAACAGCAAAAAGCAGAATAGGCCAGAAGATAAAATCTCTGGTCACTTAGGTACCAATTGTGGTTCATCAAAAAGGACTGCTACTGCTTAGGAATTCTCATCAGAAAATGCCTATTTATTGAATGTGTATTGCCCTGAATGTGTTACAAAAGAAATGGTGCTGATTAAATTTTCTCTATATTTAAAAATATATATATTTTTATAAGCAGCATAAACAGAAAAGGCTTCAATCAGCACTTTGTCAATGCAGTTTTTAGTCCCTAATTCAGAAATGACATTTTGATTGGAAACATGAGTTCATTGAAATTAATAACCCAACATCATTTGAAAATGAACCACTATTTAATTTCAAATTGGTCTGATCTTTTTATCTACCCTTCTTACTACTCTGTGACATTCAGTTCAGGATATTTTCCAATACAGGCTTTTGAAAGGAAAATGTAGACAACCAGATTTTACTTTTCAAAGAAGAAAATAAAAATTCCTATCAGTTCTGATTATTCAATTGTGTAGCAAATAAAAAGAAAGTTTACTTGATCTTTTTGCTGGTTTTACAAGTTGAGTTACTCAGCCAGTCAAAAAGTTTTAGAAAGCAGATGTTCCTATTTTCTGCTGAAGCCTGGAGACACTCAACTGAAATTTCACTGAACAGCCAAGCTGTTAGTATCACACTTGTTATCACACTGGAAAAATGTGAATTAGAATTACACATATATCAATTCATTAGATGGTTGGAAAGAAAACAAACACACAATAGTTACTCACTGAAGTCTAAATGCAATTGTCACTAATCACAGTGAGGAAGAGAAATTAGGAACTTTGCAGCTGCTGAGACAAAAGGAATAATGTACTTCTCAGGTCAAAAAAAGGTGATCAGTATGCCTTTATCAAAAGTCTTTGTGACATAATAGCTTCATCACTGTACTTGTCTCATCAAGAGCAAACGTAAAAAGATATACCTGGTTTCAGTCTTTGCACAGAAGCTGAGCATTCCTGTATTACATTGATTATTGTTGACTGGAAGAGGAGCCTCAGCCAGGACAAAAAGATGGTGATTTATACTCTGTGCCTGGAAAGCATTGTCTATGTATTGTTCACTTTTATTCTTCTTAGGCAGATGTTACATTTGCTTACTGCTGCTCAAAACATGGAACATATTTGGTTGAAAAGTAAAGCAATAATCTTAAATAAAAAAGATGTATGATTGAACACATCAGACCTGATTTACAACAATTCATGGGTTATAAAAGCTTTGCTAAAGATTTGCCTTCTCCGCTTGCTGTAGGTGGTAGATGCCAGCTGGTTTAAAATCTGTTTGCTTGCATTTACTTGATTCCTTTCATTTACTCTGATGCTGATTTCAAGCAAAAGAGAAAGCTGCTACTGGCATGGAATGATCCTTTATTTTTTTCTGAGGAGGCAGGAGAAAGGGATTTCAGGTAGTTTTCTTCTTATTTTTCTTTTCTTT